TTTGACCTCGACTTGGATCGGGTTCGATTTAATCGAAAGAGAAAATGCAACGGACCTGACTTTAATACAGGCTTCGACTCAACTTGGATCAGGTTCGATTTAACCGAGTGATAAATAAAAATGACCAAGCTTGCGAGCTTGGCTCGAGGATGAGCTGAAATGTGATGAGGATGAGACCTGCAAGAGAAAACACTCTGACGCCCAAGTGAGGAAGAATTCGAGTTGTATTCGAGAGAAAATACAGTGTTTGTGTAGCTTGGATAGAGGCAAATGATTTCTATATATAGGCAAAGTCTCTAACAGAATTCCCGACAAAGCCTTCAACGACTCTTTAAGGTAAGCATAAATCATGGCGTTCTGCCATGGGGTTTATTGGAATATGAGGAAGAGCAAGACACATCTAGGTCAGTTCAAACAACGAATGGGAACAGGATCAAAGGAGATCTTGTCGGCTCGACCATAACGGGCGTTGGCTCGATAGACAGTGGAAGTACCGAGGTGATAAAACCTTTCTCTTCTAATAAGGATGTGCCACCTAAGTGTAGAGTTTAGAGATTCTTTTAAACTTGCTAACTGCATGAGATATGCACTTGACGCATCACGATAAGACTAACAAAAACCACGTGTTCATGCTAATGCGAACTTCCAATGGCAGTATGCAGTACTTATCGTAGTGGGACTCTGACATCCGAGCGAGAGGTCAGACCAATTAAAAGCTAGAATGCAACATGTATGCAATAATGTATATGCCTATTAAAAGCTAGAATGCAACATGTATGCATTGCAATGGAATATGATTATGAATGCACAATGCATGATACTTAATTTCATAATCTAACTATGATATGAAAACGATTTATTTTTTTGAAGGATGTATACAAGTGATATGAATGCGTGATTTGTGAAAAGCTTTCATTATTTTTTGGTTGTCTTACTTACTGCTGGATCATTTTTTACTCTTACTTACTGCTGGATCATTTTTTTGGTTGGTGAAAAGCAAAAAGATTTATTTGTTCTCTTTTGGTTTTGATTTACTGGCAGAATATATATATTGATTAGTTCATACTTCAATTGAAGATGACGAGCTTCTGAATACACTAAATCTAACATAAGGGGAGCTTGTGAATATAGATCATCAAAGAGATTAGAGCAAGGAATTGTAGCATAAAATTCAGGAAGAGAGTTCTTTTAAAATTATGCATAAGAAATATGTACGATAATCTAATTTTAATCTCTGGCGTGGTGTTACGAGGGTGAAAACGAGCATAAATGGCTAGGTGAATTTGGCCTAGGCCATGGGCGAAGCAATACAATGTGGTATCAGAGTGTCATATGATTGGCATCTTGGAGCCAAGTTGCATGACATGGCGGGCATGAGCAATGCACATTGCGCGAAAAGAGTTGAGCGTAGGTGGACGCTTAATGAAGCCTTACAACATGCTGGCAAGGAGCGCAAGTGATGCATGCAGTCAGTGGTTGGCATGGGCATAATAACGTAGGAGTGCGTGCAGTCCTCTATACACACAGGCGCCAGACAGGAGGTTGACGACATGGACATGCGACCAGACAACTGGCATGTGGCCAAGGCTGTCAATGGCTTGCATGTAGGTGGGCATGCACGATACCCTATTTATGGCGATCAACTATAGATACTCCAGCTGCTTTGGGATGAGCCTATAGCCCCATTTAATGTATTAGAATCTAGAATATAATAGATGGATTGACCTACCATGAAAAAGGTGCAAGAACAAAAAATTAAAAGTTCCCACTTGAAAAGGAGATATTTATTTCAGATGTGGCAGGAATGAATGGTAAAATTATCCACCAATATACATATAAATTTCATAAATGTCATAACAACATACAAATAACAACCATTAATACCAATTGAGCAACTACAAATTTAAGGTGAAAAAGACTAAAAAATTGCCAAATACCTTCAGGTGTACCACCTTACCACAACAATTTAGGTGTAGATTGCTCCCACCATTGCAAAAGAGATAAGAAATCAACAATTTCATGCAATCGACAATTTCAAATGAAATTTATTCCCATTTCCAAGAGGTTAGAGAGAGAAAGTGATAGAGAAGCGAGAGATAGAGTACCAATATGAATAAGACCATAATTGTAGGAAACCAAATGCAAAGAACCACGTAATCATTAGTTTTTTTTTTTGTCATAAATCATAGCCTCAACTAAGAAACTTTGCAAATGAGAGTGAAGTATTGAAACACTTAGGCCCCATTTAATTATCATGAATCATAATGAAATCCATCAGAATCAGAATGTTATTCAATTGATTTTATTTACTTGATATTATCTGGAATCCAAAAACCATTTTTTGGTGTTTACTTCCATTAGAAATCGTAATCAAACATATGATGATCACCAAAATACTCTTATTTATTTGTAACTAATTTAAAATTGCATTAATTAAAAAGGATGTTATGAGATTTTTTATATTAAAAAAATAATTATTTGTAATAATTTTTTAGATATACTTTATATTATTTTACATAATAGCAATAAATTGTATATTTTGTATTTAAGTCTAAAAAAATCTTTACACTTTATTTGATATTATTATTACATTATTTATTATAATGAATTTTCTTTTACCAATTCAATTTAAAATTAAACAATTTCTAAAAAAATACAAAACTAAATAATTAGAAATTTAAAAAACAATTCTAGTGTTGCGTGAATTAGAACATAAATGAGATGAGTCATACAAAATATTTATTCATGTATATATATAAAAGACGAGTCATGCAAATATTATATAAACTATTTATCGCAATTAGCTCAAACTTCAAAGTAATCTTAAACTATCTCATCAAAGTTCAAAATAATTAGTCATATAAAATATAACTTAACAGTTACATTACCAAGTATTTAAAAGTACAAAATAATTATAATTATCCATACACCTAAAGGCTCTCTTAAAACAACTAAACGAGTCAAACAAAATATAATATAATATTTTAATAAAAGAGTCAAACTCATGTTCTAATAAGTTTAGAACACATTCTTTCTTCTCCTCTTCATTAATGGTGAAAAACACTCTTAGAGGTCGTGTGATCTTGCCAAAATATTAGTGACCTTAAAATATTGAAAGGTAGATAGTTTGCTTATCTGTTTTAACTGATCAATTAATTGATCTTGCATGTTAGTCACTTCTCTATCATTTGATAGGACTTCTTTAAGCCCGTCAAGCTTTGCTGCTACTTCTCTATCGAATTTGCCATGCATTAGATATGATAACTCATTCCATCCTTTTTGCATGCTTTCGTTTTACGCCCTGACTTGAACTTTTATCAGTGGAATTGGATTGAGATTGATGTTATGAGAATGATGTCCCTTCATCACCAAATGGATTGAATGTGTCATCCTGAATATCAAAATGCATGTCAAAGCCATTGATATCCACATAGGAATCATGATGAGAGCTAGCATCCTCCAATCTAATTTCTTCATTATCATCATCTGCAGTATCTGCATATTGACTAGTGGCATGATCTTGTCCAAATATTTCTCACTGAACATCATTCTCATGAATTAATGATTGCAAGTGACACACTTGATACGTAATTCTAGAAAATGTTGGTTGAAGTTGTCTTTTAAGTAATGCAAATTTGGATGGTAGAAATGGAAATACACAGTGCAAGCATTTCTCGAAGGATGACAACCAACATATTTATGACAATATATATTTTCTTATTCTTTTCAATAGTAAGCCGAGTCATATCTAAATAAAAAAAAAGACATAAGATGAATTTCATCATTAGTAATACCATGGTGGAATCGAATGATATTTAAAAGTAAAAGCAAAGAAATAAAAAATAAAATAATTTTGTGTCTTCATTCTACATAGTCCCTTGAGTTCATTTTTATTATATTCTTCTTAAATAATGCAAACAGATCTCATTTAAAAAAAAAAGGTCAAAAGACAAAAACAATAGAAAGATGGATTTTATTTTTTTGAGATCTCATTTCCTAGGAAAATAAAAAACAAAATCTACATGAAAAAACTAGCTATTGAAAAATCTACAAGAAAAAATGTTCATATTAAAAAAAATCTCATTTAACAAAAAAGAACGGGAGAGGGGGGCAAAAGGTCGATTTCAATATCCCAATGATAAACTCATTGTTAGGCACCGTAGATAAAAAAAATATATATGTTGAGTTAGAAGAAAGTTTGTAAGTCACACAATGCTTGGTTCATACAAAAAAAGTGAGAGATTGGTACCTGATAGAGATTGAAATTTGGAAAAAAAAAACCAAAAAGTCCAAACCAGGTCGAATGTTCAAATGCACCCAGAGGAGAAGCAATGATGTAAGAGACTTCAAATTTAAAGTTACCAAACAGATCTGCGGCAGAGGATAAGGTGACAAACAGATAAATGGGTAGGAGGAAAACCGGGAAGGAAGCCGTCGAAAAAATAGCCCTAAAAGAAGCAGAAAATCGTGAGAGTATATGAGAGAGAAAAGAGCATTGATCGTTAAATAATAAAAAAATGTATCGTGGATCCACAAAATAAGGAATAGGAATGAGATTATATTTTTTTTGGGGAGTGATTCCCAAATTTGGGGTGGGTCCTATTTTTTACTCTCATTCCTTTATTTTGGTAAACACAATCAAAAGACATGCACATTTTGATTACGATTCATGGTAAGTAAACGAGGTCTTATAGTCATACACTCAATAAGACTGTGAAGCAATAGAAGAATAAAAGAAAGGGAAATAAAACATGATTATGCCATAGAGAGAAACGTGCAATATAAAATATTGTGCTCCAATCATATAACACAAATCAAATCTTTAAATAAATTCATTTCTTTCAATAGACGTCATTTGTTCAAAAGGTACTAGGATTGAGACAACAAGTATCTCTATGTTTGATTTATAAGTATTCGCCTATAATCATCTCAAAAACAAATTACGAGCAACTTTTTACGCAATCATACACAAGCAATAGTTCAAACGGGCAATTTGGTAATCATATGAGCAAATATCACAACTATACATAAGCAATAATTCAAAAGTTAGCAAACATAACAAAAAAGGTCTTATCATTAAAGAAGTTAGTCGAATAAAAAACACAAGTTGAGACTAAGAGAACAAAGTAATTTCAACTAATTTCAAGTTCTTTTATGTCTGATCATATAGCAATTGGTTGTACGAGTGTGCATCATAGTAGCTAAAACCGATCGGATCGACCGTAATTGACCGAACCAATGTCAAGCGATTAGTTCGCCAGCCCAAAAACCCCATAATCAACTGATCGAGATGTCTTTTTTTTAAAAGGAATATTATATATATATATATATGATGTTTTAAATGAATTTAAGGTTCTCTCCTAATTCTTGCACCAGTCGCCTCCACCTTTCCTTTCTTTCTCACATTCTCTCTCGTCTTGCACTTTTTAACTCTCCATCTCTTTACTCCTTCACTCTATGTCTCCGCTCCACCACTCCGATCTCTGCTAGCATCAGCCACCTCGCCACCAACCCCTTGTCATTTGATTTTCACCATACTCTGCCGCTCAACACCATTGACCCCACACCCTCACTGTTGCAACCCAGCCCTACCCAGCGCTCGCTACTCAAAACCTTGCTGTTCAGTTTTTGACGTGACCCAACCTCACCTATCGCTCAAACCCAAGCCATTCAGAACATTCGCAACTTCCAATTGACACTAAATAGGCGGACCTCCCTTTTCAGGCTAAATTCGAGTTCGGAGGAGTAAGTTATGATTTCTGTAGAGTTTGTTTTTAGGTGTTCTAATATGAGATTTCTATAGAGTTCGTTATTAGGTGTAAATTGAAAGGCTTAGGTATTAAGTATTTGAGATTTGAGATTTCAAGTTAGTTATTAGGTATTATTAGGTGTAAATTCTTATTAGGTGTTCTGATTTGTAAAGGCTAATATTTGCTTAATTTATTTCAATATTTGTTCCTTTATTGTTGAAAATAAGTAGACTTATTTTTTTTATCTAATATGTATAAATTTAATTATTCAAGCAGTTTTTTATGTATATAAGTATTGGTGTAAATTAAATACATATTTTGTTTTCACTTCATTTGTTTTTAACAAAACTTTTGTAGATTTTGTATGGTTAATATGAATAAATCGAAATATCCAAGTGGTACAATAGTCGGGGAGAAAGTTGGTACGATAAACTTAGATCTAGTGGAAGATTGTTCTTCAAGTCCAATAAAAAGGAAGCGTAAGAATATCAAAAGCATTATTTGGGATCATTTTGAGAAATTGAAAGGTGATCCTTTTAATCCTCAAGCTAAGTTCAAATATTGTGGAAATATGTATGCATGTCATCCTAAACGTTATGGGATGGGAACTATGAAATTTCACATAGTAAATTGCAAGAAATACCATAACAAAAAGAAGAGAGAACCAACCCAAAAGCTATTAGCTTTCAAAAATCAAGAAGTTGTTGGTGGTGTTGTGGAATTTGATACAAAACTTGTATGTGAGTCATTTGATTTGGAGAGTAGTAGAAAATCTTTAGTTGAGATGATTATTATAGATGAATTGACTTTTAGGTTTGTGAAGGGTAAGAGTTTTCGAAGATTTATGAAAAAGTCAATAGATTTGCTTTAGTCTAGGTTTGTTATTCCATTCTGAGTAACTGTCGTACGGATGTTTAGATATATCTTAGTGAGAAACATTGTTTGAAAGACATATTTAAGACAAAAAAAAAATGTTTATCTCACTACCAATTGTTGGACTTCTGGACAAAATAGAAACTATATGGTACGATGTTGACTGCTCATTTCATTGATTTTGATTGGAAATTGCATAAGAGAATTTTTAGTTTTAGTCTAATTGAGAATCTTAGAGGAGATACGTCATTGGTAAGATTGTTGAGAAATTTTTGAAGGAATGGGGGATTGAAAGAGTTATGGCTTCCACTACTCATAATGCTAGTTCGAATGATACCATCGTTGCGTATCATATCAAGAGACTCAATGAGGGGTTGTTATTTGAGGGTGAGTATATGCATGTTAGATGTTATGTACACATATTAAATCTTATTGTGAATGATCGTAATGTTTGTATTAGTGATATACGCAATGTTATTAGATTTGTGAGGTCTTCTCCACTATGTGCTTCGAAATTTAGAAAGTGTGCTAAATTTGCTAAGATATAATGTAAGAGTATTGTTTGTCTTGACAGTGCTATTAGATGCAACTTTACATATATGATGTTTGATGCAGCTACAAATTTTGAAAAAGCTTTTGGTAGGCTAGAGGATGAAGAGCATGCCTATGTAGCTAAATTACGACCTAGCAATGAGGATTGGGTGAGTGCTAGGATGTTGGTTAGATTTTTGAAAGTCTTTTATGAGGTCACTCTGAAAATTTATGAATTTTTGTATATTATATCGAATTTGATTTATCATGAGATTAGCATAGTTCAAAAATTGCATACATCTAAGTCCTATGAAGAGTGGAAATTCAATTCTTTGCAGTATGGCTAAGAGCATGTAAGCTAAGTTTGATTAATATTAAGAAAATAGTGACAAGACCAATATTTTGTTGCATATTGATATTGTGTTGCAAAATGTTAGGATAAGAGAAATGGTTAAATCCATGACAGAGAATGTGGAGTATGTTTTGCGGCATCTCTTTGTTAAATATAGTGGGTCTTATAGTAGTAGTGGAAGTGGTAGGAGTAGTACATCAGTTGTTGCTCCAAGTACCAATACTACTAGTATGGATTTTGATTCAGAGTTTGATGAGGGCTATGATTTGGGGTATGATTTTTCAACCAAAGAGACTACAATAACGAGTTGGAGATTGATGTGTATTTATTAGAATCTCTTACTAAGAATGATAGTATGTTTGACATACTTCAATGGTGGAAGCAAAATAATTGTCGGTTTGAGATTCTTAGCCAAATTAGTAGAGATATTTTGACAATAATAGTCTCGACTATAGCATCTGAGTCAACTTTCAGTACTGGAGGATGTGTAGTTGAATTTTTAGATTGTTCATGGGCTCCAAAAACAGTTGAAGCTCTTATATGTTCTCAAAATTGGTTAAATTACGAGCCTGTAGATGTTAATCTTCGTAAATACTTAGGTAAAGATTCAATGCTTTAAGAAGGTATTGTAACTATTTTTTTCATTTTTCTAAATCTTTTTTCTATTCAATCCTAACATTGTTGTCTATTTTTTTAATTTTATAGGGTGTAGGGTCATTATGAATGAGAAAAAAAATATTGAAGACGTTGAAGATCTTGCAAAGATTTCGATGTAATAGTTTCTGCTTGTGGAACTCAGATTTTTTAAGTTGTGTTAAGACTATTAGTTTTAGTATTATTTAATTTGAACTTTCGACTCTATTTTTGAATTTAGATACAGACTTAGACTTTTATGGATTTTGAAATCGAATTAGATTAGAGCTACTTTTTATTTTGTATGGCTTTTGTAGTGGAAAAAATATTGAATGATATTCTATTATATATTAAAATTATTTTGAAATTAGACTATGGATTATTATGGATTTTGAATTTTAGAATTGATATATTCTATAGCGAATTTTTAAATAGGAACGGATTGGAAAAATATATTTAAAAAAAACACAAAAATTATAAAAAAACAAAAAAAAGTCAGTTTGTTTAAAACCGACCGACCGAATCGACCATTTGGTCGATTGATTTCGAATTAAATGGGTAGTCATTTAGTTTCCATTTCTGGAAATTGATCGATGTCGATCGGCGTCGATTTTTGACCCGACCAACTGATGTACACCTCTAATTGGTTGTATACTAGGCTTAGAAAACTTATAACACCTGCTTCCAACTATTTTCCTTACAATAGAGGCAACAAAGCTATATTGCACACATCATTATGAAAGACATATCACTAGAGAAAACATATGAGTGTGGACACATTCGTGCTAAAATAACAGTAGCTACATTAACGAGTTCTTGACATCAAATGTTGTGAATTTAAATAATATTACTTTTAACAAGAAAATGTTAAACACACTACGAGAGTGTATAAAACTGAAAAAACATGTATAGAAGTATGAGTAAATAAAGAAGTTTTGCTTGCCCTTAAAAATTAGCCTATGTTGTGAGTTGAAAATAAATTACTTTTTTAGGGAAAATGTTAAACACACACTACAAGAATGTGTAGAATTGAAAAAACATGTATAAAAAGTATGAGTGGATATAGAAGTTTTTCTTACCATTAAAAATTAAAAGGCTAAAGTTAAATTCAATCCTATGTTACAAAAATTAAAAACCACAAAAACACTTTATCTACTCAATGTAGTAAAAGAAACAACTAAAATAAAATTAGAAGGA